CCCCCCCCGTCGGTAACAGACTATTGTGTTGTGACCGCACCAAATAAAATTCAGTCTGTCGAACAAATTTGGGTGAAGAGACAACTGCTGCAATGAATGGTCAGGGAAACCAAAGAACCAAAAGAAGGTTCACAGTTCATAGGTGATCGTGTCTGATGCAGACTTGTAGGCCCTACCCACCCAGCTTGTGATGTAAGTTGGAGATCTCAAATGCAAGTGTGATGTTTGGTTTGATCCCATCTGGGGCAAACTATGCTGTTTCATTGAGATTTACAATGGAGCTGTAATTGCATTCACGAGAGTGGATATTCTATGATGCAACGGGCAGTACAAATTTTCCCAAATTTTCACCCCATGATTGGTCAGCTTCACCTGCCAGAGATTTTGTTCTGGAAATTTTTCCCCTTATGTGTAATCCTTCAGAGCGGGGTCTGAGGAGGGACTTTTGTGTGAAAATGCTGTTTTATTAAAACAGCGGAATCTGAAGTTCAGTCAGTGGGTGATCGGTTTGTGTGTTCTAAAGCTTTTTTGCCTCAAATTTCCAAGCTTTTACATTTTAAATATGATTACTGATTGTCATTCTTTTTTTAGAACCAGTGGATCTCCCACCAAAAGAAAGAAAAAAATACTTGTATAATCAGTTATTGATTTTTCAGTGGTCATCGACATAAACATACAGTAGAGCACACCTTTAAAGAACACCCTTGTAAAGAACTGACGTAAAAATAAAGAACACATTTCTTTGCCTGTTTTTTTTTCTCTTTGTGTCATTTATATTTTAATGCCTTTAGTGAACATACGATGACGAACCGACGGCTGTATAATGAACCAATTTTCTTGCCCAACAAGTCTTCTATTGCATTTTAACGTGAGTTCTGATTGGCCAACGGCTCCCCCTCCCCCTGGCCCAGATTAAATTTGTTTTTTGTGCATGTGCCTTTGCCCCCTACATGTTTTCAAACAAGCTGAGGAGCAATACATCTGGGCATTATGTTTAAAAGTATTCACACTGTTCATTGTCTCAATTGAGGCTCTGTCTCGGAGTTTTTGGGTCAGAACATTAATGGAATGGTGTTATCTTTGGTGAGTAAATTAGTTGTTTTGATCAGTACCAGCATTATACAGTATCTTCTACCATATATATATGGCCTTGCTGTTCTTGTCTGTATTTATGATGTTGAGCTTGTTGGTTAAATAAAATATCCTACCTGATGCACATTATTGAGTTTATGTTTTCAGCTGTTTTTCTTTATTTTTCAGGTTTTAGTTCTTTGTAGAATCTCAAAAGTCTGTCACCATGGTGTTAGCAGATTTGGGCAGAAAGATCACTTCTGCCCTGAAATCGCTGAGCAATGCGACCATCATCAATGAGGAGGTACAAATTATTCATTTATTTTAGTCACAATACTTCTTTTTTTTTGGTTTAGAGTAACAAAGCCTTGCATGTGTGATTTACCTCTCTTAAAAATAACAATGGTAAATGGTTGTATATCTCTTTATAATTTTCATGATGTTTCTTCGATTTTTTTTCCAAGGCATAACACTGTGTCTATTTACATAAGATTTCTCCCAGGGATTTAAAGTTCTTTATTGGTTATGAAGCCTTTTATAATTCTCTGTAAAAATCACAAACTCTTCAGACCAGAGACAGATGTCCTTTGTTGCTTTGGTTTTCAAGGCAATATTTCAATGTTGAAGGAATATTATGATAATGCATTTTGTCCCAAAATGTAATCTTTGTTCGCAGGTACGTACCACTTTAAACTTTTTTGCTCATTGATTTGTTATGGCTAATTCTGTTTTTAAAATTTCAAGCTTATCAATAAAGACATGATTCATATTAAGTACTTACGTTCTTATGAGGGATCTATTTGAAGCATTATTTAGATTTTATAATCTGTTATAATGTGTTTTTTTGAACAGGTGCTGAATAGCATGCTCAAAGATATATGTGCTGCTCTGCTAGAGGCTGATGTGAACATCCGACTGGTGAAACAGCTCAGAGAGAATGTCAGGTACTGCACACAATCACAAGTTTTTTCGTTATTTCTTTTTTTTTTAAAGTACAGACTAAATTATATCCAAGATGGCTACCCGTTATTGAAGAATGACTTGGTTGACTTCAACAGTTGGGTGTCTTGGACAGTAATGTAAAAAAAGATGGAGATGGGAAGTGGTCATTTGGACAATTTAATGTCTAGGACAGGTGGTCGTTAGAGCAGATTCGACTGTAATTGGAATTTTTGTATGGACAAACGGCTGTAACATGCAGTATTTTGTTTTTCTTTCATTTTCAGATCTCATAAATAATTATTCCCGACTGAATGATGGGTTAAACGTCATTATCATCAGAATGAGGGATTATATGTTTACTGTCCTGTTGAACTATTGTGAACCTTGCCAGGCTCGCTGCGTGACTAAATTTTTCATACAATTTTTTTTATATACATACTATGTTTTATATCAACACGTACCCACTAATTTTTAACCCTACCCATACATCGTGTTTTACTGTCGTATCCACAGGACGGGGGGAACTCTGTGCCACCACTTCCAAAGAAGAAATCTACTCGTTAATCAGATGCGTACGCTTTGCATAGCAGTCTGTCAAAATGATTGTTTGTGAAATACTGAAAATTTCAAAGAGATCTTCGTACTAGAAGTATTCTAAAATGTGAAGAATACAACCCCAGGGGTACTAAATGACCTCAGGGCGTACGGATAGGGTTATAGTGTGATATCTTTATGGATATAATGCACATTGAGTTGTTTTTTTCCCCAGAAAATGGAAATGTGCTGCATAAATGCTACTTATTATTTTTTTGGGTTTTTTTGTGATATTCAGTTTCTAAATGTTTCCCCAGATCTGTTATTGATTTTGATGAGATGGCCGGAGGTCTCAACAAGCGTCGCATGATCCAGTCAGCTGTGTTCAAAGAGCTTGTGAAGGTGAGAGAGATTTGTTCATCTGTGCTGGCACATAGTTCGTCAAAGCGTGACCAAAAATCAACCTTAGACAAGGGAATCTATAGTGTCTTGTTCTTGGTTCAATTGTGCTGTTTTTAAATACATGGTAGGAGATCAGTAGCTTTTGACCAGATTGTTGGTCACTGCTTTGGTGTGGTTTGCTCCCCTTTTTTTGTCTTCACTGTGTTTCTTTTGACATTGTTCCTGACAAAATACTCAAAATCACAGTCAGCTTACTGTATATTACATTCAACATCGCTGTCAGCTTACTGTATATTACATTCAACATCGCTGTCAGCTTACTGTATATTACATTCAACATCGCTGTCAGCTTACTGTATATTACATTCAACATCGCTGTCAGCTTACTGTATATTACATTCAACATCGCTGTCAGCTTACTGTATATTACATTCAACATCGCTGTCAGCTTACTGTATATTACATTCAACATCGCTGTCAGCTTACTGTATATTACATTCAACATCGCTGTCAGCTTACTATACATTCAACATCGCTGTCAGCTTACTGTATATTACATTCAACATCGCTGTCAGCTTACTGTACATTACATTCAACATCGCTGTCAGCTTACTGTATATTACATTCAACATCGCTGTCACGAGCACATGGAATATATTTCCATAATCTCAGACTCAAACCATTCTGGTTGATCAAGAAGTATGCAAATAGAATTGGATGCTGTTTGTCATCGCCTCAGAGAATATTTTTGCTCTAGAGTGTTTTGAAAATATCCAGAAGTTCATCTGTTCTTTCTTTGCCTGAATGCTAGATATCCATTCTGTAAATCTGACCTTTTGAGATGGGCTATGGCTAATGCCTTTTCTTTTATTGATAGCTCAATAATGTCTGTAAGAAAATTATTTTTTTGACCTAGTGCCTGCAAGTGCATTGTTATTATTATCATGTTTAAAATTATTATTATTATTATTATTAATAATAAAATTATTTTTATGTGTAATGGGGTCGTCAAAGCAGCGTGATAATGGTAAAAGTTGCAACATGCTCGTTTTGTTTCTGCAGTTGATCGATCCTGGTGTGAAGGCCTGGCAACCCAGTAAAGGCAGGAACAACGTCATTATGTTTGTTGGTCTGCAGGGATCTGGAAAGACCACAACTTGCACAAAGGTAGGGAGGATTTTGCAACCTTTTCCTTCAGGAAACAAGGAGGAAAGAGATTGTCTTACACAGCGACATGGGTTGTAACTCAGATGGTTCCCACCTGCAAACACACATACACACATGCTTGCCCGCTCGCACGCACTCACACACACACACACACACACACATACACACACACACACGGGCGCGCGCACGTACGCGACTGTCCTTTCTCTCTCTGTCTCTCTCTCTGTCTCTCTCTCTCTCTCTCTCTCTCTCTCTCTCTCTCTCTCTCTCTCTCTCTCCCTCTCTCTCTCTCTCTCTCTCTCTCTCTCTGTCTCTGTCTCTCTCTCTCTATCTGTGTGACATGTCGAGTTCGTACTTTTTCTGTCGTCCCGTTCAATATTGAAATAATTGCTGAGAAACTCTTCCTTCTACACTTTAAGTACTATAACTACATTATTTGTGGTGCTATATCAGGAATAATGATATCTATAGCTGTTTTTTCTTTGTGGGTCTTCTAGATTTTTATTTTTGAGCATAACTCGTGTAGTCATTTCGCAAGGCAACTTTGATTCCCGGTGACTTTGTTTCTATCAGCTATTTTGGGGCCCTTGAATGAGCATAATATCGTTCAATGTTTACTCTCTGCCCTGACTGGTTCCAAGGCTGTAACTGTGCTTAATTTTATAATAAACAGAAATTTTGCGACGCCTCGTGCTCTGTCGTCATTTGTTATGCTCGAAAGAACCAATCAGAAAACGAAAAATAATAGGGGTGGAGGAACGTGCATTGTTCCTGTCGATCTATTCAAAGCGTATTGTTGTGCGATGCAAGATGCCAAGAAGAATAACGATGGATGAGACGAATTCATTTAAGTTTTCTTATGTTGTCATCAAATCTTAACATGTTATGTTCGTAAAAAGCTGTTATGTCCGAAAAATGTTTCCCCCCCATTTAATTAAATTTAAACCAAGTAATGATTAACATCGCACTGCGTTCCAATGGTCAAGTAGTGGTAGATCTAGATGCGATCACGTGTGCTTGGCTAGATGTCAACCAGAGGGGAAAGTTTGATGTAAATTGATATGTTCCAATATGATTACAAACATTTATCAGTAATATGTCATCGTGGTTATGTTCGAAAGATATTTGGTACTTTGCCTAGTCTCGTAAAATGTGAATTAAGTGGCATTTTTTCACCATTATCATGCATTATGAGTCGAACTGAATCTCCTGAATCTTTATTTGCCAAAATTTTCAAAAAATGAATTCAAAATATGAAAGTGGAAAGATTTTCATTTCTTTCGGACCTAACTATGATGACACAAATGCGAACACAAAGACATTCAGAATTTCTTTTTTCTGTGATTTTATATGCTTTTCATGCTTACGTTTGAAAATTAAAGCAATGAGAAAACTAATAAAATAATTTTATGTACCATAAATTACTTTTCATGGTATTTTTCACTTTGTGTCATCGTGGTTATGTTTGAACAATATTTGCTATTTTGCAGAGATTCATAGTAAAATGTGAATAAAGTGGCATTTTTTCATCATTAACATGCATTGTGAGTCAAATTGAATCTTCTGAATCTTTATTTGTTCTAATTTTCATAAAAGAAATTAAGACATGAAAACAGGAAAGATTTTCATTTCTTTCGGATATGACTATGATGACACAAATGCACACACAATGGCATTCAGAATTTCTTGTTTCTATGATCCTCACCATTTTATATATTCTTCATGCTTATGTTGAAAATTAAAGCAATAAGGAAACTGTTAAAAATAATTTTGTATGTTCAAATTCTAAAAAACGTGTCATCATAGTTATGTCCGAAAGAATTTGACTTGATGTTATGTAACGCCAGTTACACAGCTTAGCATGCCGTCTGTAGGTCTGTAAATACATGTTTTGTAGGAAGAGATATACATGAATAGAACAATTCAAGTAAAAACAAAATAATAAACACTTTATCATCAATCCTCTGTGGTACATTTTAGGTACCCACCTATTGGAAAAAGCTCATATAGATAGATGTGTATGTTTAAAACAGCAATACACATTGATGATATCTGAGGAGAAAACTAATTCACTTTGTGATATCTCTGCAGCTGGCCTACTACTATCAGCGAAAAGGCTGGAAGACTTGCCTGATCTGTGCTGATACTTTCCGTGCTGGAGCTTTCGACCAGCTCAAACAGAACGCTACCAAAGCCAGAATTCCGTTCTACGGAAGGTTTGTTACCTCCAAAATCAAACTTATGTTCTAAGGGCACTGCGTGTGTTTTACAGGAATTGTGGTTAGCTCATCTCTTATGAGTCCTGCATTTGAGAGCTATCATTTTGGTATCTACTGAGTTGATGTGTTCAGATTTCTTACTCAAAGTATTTGTTCCAGTTTCTGCCTGATTTTGTGAGGTGACTGTATAGTTTGGAATTATTGATACAGTATGCAAGAATGTTTGTTTTTTGTTTATATTTATTTTTTGTCTTTCATGCAAGGTAAAACATGTATTGCCTTTTCAGTGACAAAGAAACATTTGGGGTTTTTTTTGTTTCAGTTTTCTTTTGCTCCCACAAGTCATTGTGTTCTCTCTCACCCACTAACATGCACACTCATCAGTTATGAACCTTGTGCAAGTACATTTACAGTTTCACATCTATGTATGCATTCTCTGTGCTCCTGTTTGTCTTTTCCCCTTTGACGTATTTAGTCTTTTAGTCGTACAGTTTGTCTTGGTAAAGAAAAAAGGGAGGATAGGAATAGAACTAATGCTTTCAAAAGTGAGATGAGCAAGAATATACAATTTAATGATTTTTACCTATTAATTTAAGTTGTGTGGTGTTAGATGCTGACAACATTTTTAAAAATCTTTTTCCTGTCCAACAGCTACACAGAGATTGATCCTGTGGTGATAGCCCAGGAGGGTGTGGACAAGTTCAAAGATGAAAACTTTGAGATCATCATCGTGGACACCAGTGGTCGACACAAGCAGCAGGATTCTCTGTTTGAAGAAATGTTGCAAGTGGAGCAGGCTGTCGTAAGTTGTGCCCTCCTCATTGATGAATGCTCTGTAGATTTTACTTGTTTAGAAACATGACAAGTTTTGTTGGATGAAGTTTTCTTGGAGGGGTTTTTTTTTGTGGTACAGTTCTTCTAGTATTGTTCCATGGTAGATTTTGTTTCCTTTGTTACATTCTCCACGTTCTCTTTTGTTCTTTTTGTTACATAGCTTTTTCAAACTTGGGGAAGTCTCCTTCCTACACCTTCAAGTCCATGCCTTTTACCTTGAAATCATAGAGAGAAATCTGTCAGAAATTTGCTTGTTCCCCTTGAGAATATATGATACTGATTTTTTAAAATCAAAACACATTTGTCAAGAAACTTAATTTGTACCCCAATACCCCTCCCTCTGTGGTGTCATACTGGCTGCTGTGCGCAGAAAATTTTCCCAGAAGAACTGTAAAGGAAAGTTGATCCTATCCACAAAATTTATGCATTTCTGGGTCGAGGCCTATACACTCATATATGCACACACACGAACATATATTATAAATATATGATTATATATACATGCTTTGCATGGTCTCACAATATTTTCCCCTTTTTCACTGAAGACAGGGGGAATTGAAATTAGTATAGTATTTTTTTTCCAATGCATTAGTCTGGTTTCATTATGTGAGGAACAGTTACAATATTTATAGCATTTAGGAAAGATGTATGGTTGTGTCTGAGTACTTACCAGATTGTCTCCTTTTTTTTTCCAGCGGCCAGACAATATCATTTTTGTGATGGACGCTACCATTGGTCAGGCTTGTGAAGTCCAGGTGGGTGTTAAAGCTGTGTTGGTGTCTCTTGAAATTGTACTTACGTACTTTATTTTGTTTATGAAACCGTATCAGTTTATACTGTCCTTTTTGAAAAGGAGTGCATGATAAGATGAATGTAATTCCACATACTTCAAATTTTTATTGGTTGGCGGATGCTCTGGTGTGGTTTGTTCTTTTTTTCAATCAAACATCTATCATCCTGATCTCTCCTTCTTTTCTGTGTTTGTTACTCTCTTGTAACACCTCTAATCTTCGGCATTTATATGACCTTATTGTGTTGCAAATGCCATAAAACTCTTACGAAAACTTAAATTTTTATTTAAACTAAAGGGAGATTTAATATACAATATTTAACGCTTGTGTTTACCTCAGGAATACTGATTTCTTAGTAAGTTTACCTGATACTTGTAGTAAAAATATTTTGTTTTTACTACGCATTCATATGCATATCTTTATAAGATATAAAAACCAAAATTGGCCAAGAATAGCCTCAGTGTGAATGCGATAGGGGGAAATATATAAGGCAAGAGTAGAAATTATGGGTGACTGTCGTTCAGTGTGTCTGATTTTTTGTTTCTGGACAGGCAAAAGCTTTCAAGGACAAAGTAGATGTGGCCTCTGTGATCATCACAAAGTTGGACGGTCATGCTAAAGGTGGTGGAGCTCTCAGCGCGTAAGTCATATTTTTTGGTGCTGTATCCATTATTGAGAACTTTGTGTTTGTGCTCTTTGTAGTCTGCTACTTGTACTTCTTGACAGTATAACTTGATTGTTGTGTTCAGGCAAAATGTAGCAGTTATAATGCAGATAGACTGAACAGTCAATACATTTCAGTCATGAAGGCAGCAACCAAAGTTATGTTTTTGTTGTCCTTTTTCCTTTGGCACGTCATTATGCCATTTGCTTTTTTGTCATTTCTAGTGAACGGCTGCCAACTGTGACCTAATCACATTGGCTTCAGATTCTTTCTGTAGGATTTTTTCCTGGCCTCATTTGGAAGATGAGTTCAATTCCTCACTGAATTGTTGTAAAATGTGAGATGTTGGATAGGCATCACTGTTTTTGTAACTATTTTCATTTCTGTAACCAGTCTTTGTCCTGGGTAAGATAATCAGAATAAATATGGGGTATCTTAATGTTAGTTTAGTTCTGGTTCAGTATCTTGTATGGCCTTTGTTTCTTTTTCAGTGTTGCAGCTACCAAAAGCCCTGTGATATTTATTTGAACCGTTCAAAGTGCAGCCTTTTGTCAGCAAACTCTTGGGTAACTCATCTACTTCTCTTTAACGTACAGAAGGGAAGAAAAGAACATAAACCATTTCTATGTATTTTTATGGGTAATTTTGTTTTGTTACAAAATAAATAGCATTGATGCATAAACAGATTCTGGATTTTAACATGTCCTATAATACATATCTCACCACACCTTGACTGGTTACTGCAGTTGTTGTTTTTTGTTTTTTTTAATGACTTTTAAAATTAATCTCATTCTGCTGTTTTATACCTTTGATCATACTGCCTTCCGTGCATCAAAAGATGCCCACTGACTGCTCATATCAAAACTTGACTTTACTTTCTCTCTCAGGAATGGGTGACATTGAGGGTCTCATAGACAAAGTGAATGAGCTGAAGCTGGATGACAATGAAGAACTCATGAAGAAGTTGAAACATGGTGAGTTTTTTTATTTCAATTTTGATGCATGTTATGTGACTGTTTTGAAGATCTTTCTGAAGTAGTGTAATGACGAGGACTACCATGAAAGGGATATGGAATGTGATTCTGAAGATCACATGAATTTTAGTAATGTATCGCTCAGGGAGCTCAGGCAGAGGGATGAGGTAGCATCAGGAGGTCAGGGCTCAAAGGCTTAACTCTTCATGTCTGTAGAGGATTTTTGTTGTGACCGAAGCCTCCCAGGGACTGATCCTATACAGCAGTAGGGTGGGATACAAAAGTTTATATAACTTTCGAACTACTAGGCCCACATCAAAACTTTTGGTATGTTTGTGTTCAGAAATAAATTTGCAATTATTGGTGTTCATTTTAGATGCCTTTATTGAAGTATTAAAATAGACTATTGAAGTAAATGGCCATTAGCAAAAAAAATTGTTACAATATAACATAACACCGTTCACACAAATAGGGGTGTAACTTTATAAACTTGAACACAGAGCCAAAGTAAAGGAAGTAAAAATGTTGATATACATTCTAGGATTACATCTGTGGTGGCTGTAACTACTTTGAAGCCCATTCTTTTGAAATACACCCAAATAAAAAATGTTTTTTCAGAACCCTCATTCGGCACAAAAGTCTAGATCTCTATATATTAGACTTGCGTGTTTGCCCACAATCGTCTGAAATCCGATGATCGCGACCCGTGCGTGTTTGCCCACAATCGTCTGAAATCCGATGATCGCGACCCGACCCACCACCTGGCCGATGCTATCGCTAGGCCACCTGTATTAGGCAATGTGCAAAGTATGAGGTTTAGCCGATTGCCAGCGCGCCCTTTTCTCCAGTCGACTTGGTTAGCACTTTCGTTTTCGTGCCGACGTCGGCGTTTCCGACATAATTGTCGGAAACTGAGTAGAAATACGAATACGAAAAAGGACGACGACCTAAGTTAGATCTACTTTCAGTTTCGTGCTCGAGTGACCATTTTGAATTTCGTCTGTTGACCAATTCTTTTGATCATGTCAAAAGGCCTACTCACTTGTTCTATTAGATCTAGGTTAGACCTGCATGTTTGCCGACAATCGTCTGAAATCCAACAATCGCGACCCGACCTGCGAACCGGCCGATGCTATCGCTAGGCCCGCCTGTATCAGTCAATGTGGGTAGTGCAAGGCCTGGCCGACTGCCAGCGACCCCCTTTTCTCCCGTCGGCTTCGTCGGCACTTTCGTTTTCGTGCCGACCGCCGACGCGCGCACCGCCGACTGCCGACGTCAGCGTTTCCGACATAATTGTCGGAACCTAAGTAGAAATGCGAATACGAAAAAGGACAACAACTTGAATTATCTACTTTCAGTTTCGTGCTCGAGCGGCCATTTTGAATTTCGTTTGTTGACTAATTCAATTGTTCAGATCGTGTAGATTCATTCAAGTCCAACTCTCTTGTTCTAATAGAATCTAGATCTAGAATCTAGATCTAGATTTTTATAGATCATTATAGACCTCAATGGAGGATTCATATTCCAATTCTATTGTGTCAAACCATATCATAAGTTGTGCTGTAATATTTATATTGGTAAAAATAAGCATTTCATCAGGTGGGTGAATTATTTATTTATTTAGATTCTAGAGATTTAGAATCTACATCTAGATCTAGTAAAGATCTAGATCTAGATCTAGAATCTAGACTCAGCTGAGTCCCTCTGTTCAGAATCGGATGCGGATTTCTAGTTCAAGGCCTATTCCTATTCACTTGTTCTACGAGATCTAGATCTAGATTTATTTAGATTACTAGATCTATATGGAGGATTCATATTCCAATTCTATTGTTTATTGTATCAAACCCTATAGCAATGTAGATGTAAGCCATATATAGATCTAGAATCTAGATCTAGATCTATATGCTCCTTGTTTGTTTTGGAGTGTGGTTTTTTTAATTAAAAATTTTTTTTTTCATTTAGGACTTGTTTTGGCCTTTTTACATGAGGCACGTTGCAGGTTCTTTTTGGGGGGTAGGGTTAGGGTTAGGTCTCTTCTTTATTGTGTTTGTTGGGGTGGTCGCTCGTTACTCGGATGTCCTTCCATATGACACCCACAAAGGCTTTTTTGTGCGCAAAATTTTCAGACAATCTGGTTGAGGCTCACATGCAGGTCTATCTAGGTTTATGTATAGAACATTATAGACGTAAATGGAGGATTATTCCAATTCTATAATGCCTAACCCTATTATAGGTTTTGCTGTAATGTTGTTGGTAAAACAGCATTTCATCAAGTACGTAAATTATTAGAAGGCTCATCAGCTGAGTCCCTCTGTTCGGATGCGGATTTCGTTCAAGGCCTAGAATTTCTATTTCTATTCCTATTCACTTGCTCTACTAGATATAGATCTAGAATATAGATCTAGATTTATTTAGATTACTATATTTATGGAGGATTCATGTATTCCAATTCTATTGTGTTATAAATTGTATCAAACCCTACATTGCAATGTAGGCCATTATGCTCCTTGTTTGTTTTGGGGTGTGGTTTTTTTTACATTTTGGACTTTTGCTAACTTTTTTTGCATTTCTAAAGGGCCATTGCAGATTCTTTTTTGGGGGCCCATGCCCCCATCATGTACCTCTACAAGTGCTGCTATTTTATGAGGGAGGACTTTCGTAACGAGCGACCAAAATGAGACAAAGTAGAGTAAAAGGCTACTTTTAAGTGTAAGGTTAAGGTTAGGGTTTCGGTTAGGCTTAGGGTTTGGGTTAGGGTTAGGTCTCTTTATTGTGTTGTTAAGGTGGTCACTCGTTACACGGAAGTTCTTCCTTTTATGACACCCACTAAAGCTCTTATGGAGGGAAATCGATTGTTTTATTTGGGGGGTGGTATGCGCAAAATTTTCATACAATCTGGTTGAGGCTCACATTCAGGTCTAATATATACTTAATATACACACTTTGTTAAATCAAAGGCTTACATTTATAGTTTTGTTTGAATATACCTAAATATGAAAACTGTCATTTTGCACATTTTCAAAGTAATTTTGAGTAATTCTTTGAAGTATCCCGGTGTAAGATAAAGTGTACAATAACTACATATAAAAAAGTCACATTCACATAGGCCTACATAATTATTATGATGAACTAACCTGAATAAAGCCTCAGTAAGATCCAACATCTACATACCTCCCTAGTTTTACACTTTTTGTGTAATTATTACACAAAAATGGCCCTGATTACTAAAGTACAAATGTGTAGAAAATTACCCATTTTTCCCTCCCACAAACTAGCCAGTTCGATGTCTGTAAAATGTTAATTAATTACACCAAATGATGGAAGTACTGCTCAGGCTTGGATGGGGCTTGTCGCCAGGTGGATTTGGAATTATCTCCCCTTCGCTTTGCAGTGCTGTGTGCATGATATGCGATAGGCCCGTTATTAACAAGCAACACACGGATCAGGCCTCTTCTTAATGACTGCGCTAAATTTGTTGCAAGTCAGAGCATCCAGAAATCTAGAATCTACCTGTGTGTGTGTGATTACACTTTTTTGTCTCAAATTACTCAAAATCGTCTTTTCTTTTACACATTTTTGGATCTTGAATTAGGGAGGTATGGATCTAGATCTAGATTTATGATACCCAAATTGAACGAAAATTTTGTCTCAGTATGATCCAAAAAGAAAACTGCCACTATAATCATTTCAGGAGCAATCTTCAGCCAAGGTAATCTCCGTAATTGACACAAACAAATTAGACACAGAAAATCAGCTGTTGGGAAACAAGCCGTCAAATCTAGCATATGCGCCCGCACAAACGCTACAAAATGAAAGTACAAACAGAAGAAGACCTATTTTCGGCATTTGCGACCATAATTTTGGTTGATGTCATGAAATAATACTTTCATTTGTATTTAATGAAGGCTAGTGTAGTTAGCCGGGCTAAACCCAGTTAACACCAAGCCGCTCCCACCGGCTCACTGGACATGAAGAGTTAAGAACTGTCTAGCACACACATAATAACAAACAATCACAAAGCGGACACGTACCTTGCTAAACACGCACATAGCTAACAGATTTTCAGGTTCTGAATTTTCACTTTTATTCATGTCATATATTCTTTATATTTAAAACATGTGCATTGCTAGATTTTTGTACTTACAAGAAAATTTTCAGGTCCTGCCAATTTCGCCATGTACATGCTAAACTGTATTTAACTAAAGTGACACTCTAGCAGTGGAATTCAGTGTTATGGGTTCATTTCAGATGAAAGTGGAATTTTTAAAATTTA